GGGGTGTGCCGAAATGGGGGGTGGAACCAGATGCGAATGCAGCCACTGGGGCCTTCGGTGGCGCTCCCAACGGGGCCACGAAACGTGTGAGAGGTGTGCCGACAGGGAGGGTGGAACCGCCATGCGGACGCAGGCACTGGAGCTTTAGGTGGAGGTCCCTCTGGGGCCACGAAGCGTGTGAGGGTGTACCGAACGGGAGGGTGGAACTGCATGTGGGCGCTGATACTCGCATCCGTGGGACTGTATTCGTGGGAGCTGTCTGTTCGCAACTCGAAGCCTTATTAGATCAGACGACACCCAAGACAAGTGACGCACAGTTTTTGTTCGATGCGCGGTCCTACGAAGTCCCGACCCTCTCCCAAAGGCAAGCTTTTCATCCCGATTTTTGCTTCAATGGTCCAGGGACCCGGCGAGGGTCCCCAGAGTCCGAAAACTGCCAAAACCTCCCGTCCTGATTTTCCCCCGACCCGAGCACTGTGTGCACATCGAACCCCGCCAGAGGAACATCAAACAACATAGCAATGATTCTCACTCGAGCGATCCCCGCGAATCAGGGCTGGATGCGGCTTGGGCATTGTCGTAACGAGTGCAATCTCTGATGGGGTAAACGTGGGGGCTTGCTATGTAGTCGTGGGGTGCTGAGATCACTATTCGCATATACTGACATTCGTATGTATGCAGCACCTGATCTTCTACAGGGCTCGGATGTTGTACTTAGGTCCTTCATGGCGCGGTCCGCATTGCCGCTGACTTCCATACTCGCTGGTTTAACAAAAGTCTCCGAAGTCTAGTGGTCTGGCTCGCCTGCCCAAAAATCGCAGAAAGAGATTCACCCCTCCTCTTCCCTCCGCATCTCCCTGCACCTCCCTCGTCCTCTCTTCTCATTCTCCTCCACGTCCTCGACCTCCTCCTCCTCCTCCTCCTCATCCTCTGGAGGGTCTTCGTGGCTGTACTCCTGTTCCAACGTGAGCGGTACTTCCCTTGGACAAAATTCGCGCCGGGCGCGCCCGCCCCTGTTCCCCACGGCCGGACACAAAAACAGCACAGTAGTATTTTGGGGATTCGGCTGCACGCAATCAGAAGCTTGCTCAAAACAGCGACTGCCCTCCTGTCGGGCTGCACGCGACCGGTCGACGGCCAACCGGCTGCTAGCATTCCACCGCGCATCTCCTGGACGGGGAGTGGCGAACGCATCGGCCGAGCCCCTTTTTTCGTTGACGCTTGCTCGCCGACGGCAAACCTGCTGCCAATCCAGCAGACCCGAACTCCCGTAAGTCACGATGTCTCCTGACCTTCGTTATGTTTTATGCTGTGCGATGTCTGAAGTTGTGTGTTTCATGCTTCATTGTTTTAGTTTTGCAGTCGTTGACCCTACATTTCCTCATAAACAGCGCATGGTAAGACCTTGGCAAGATCTGGTATGATAGCACATGTCAAACCTTGGTAACCCTTGGCAGGCCTTCCGCAGCGTCGAGGGCTGTCAAGGCTTACGGCTGTTATCACAGGTTGCACACTGACCGATTGGGTCTCCAAATCAACGTTCGCTTGGACGTGAATATCCTACGATGGACACCACAAGGCACCCCACGCGCGCGGAGTTCTGCAGTGTGCTCGGCTAGTCGCCATGTTGGTAGTATGGGAACTGATGTGAACGCTTAGCGGTGGCCGACAAGATTTCGGGCCGCACGGTGGGTGGGTCACCCGCCGCGCGTGCGCGAGCTCATGGCGACTTCTGTATGGTCCACAATCGGAAAAAGCGCCACGCTGGCCTGGAAACTAAAGTGAACTTTTGACGGTGACGGAAGTGATGTTGAAATGAACATGGGTGTTGGTGTACCGTTTCATGCATGATCCACACAGAAATCCCCTTTCCGTTCGCGGTGCCACATGCCAGCAAAGCCACTGGGGCCCTCGGTGGGACTCCCAGTGGCGCCACGACACGTGTGAGGGGTGTGGCGGCATGGGCGCGGTGGCGCCATGCGAGCGCAGCCACAGGGGGCACTCCGTGGAGCTCCCCATGGGGCCACGAAGCGTGCGGGGTGTGCGGAAGTGGGCGCGGTGGTGCCATGCGAGCGCAGCCGCTGGGGCCCCCTGTAGGACCATGAAGCGTGTGAGGGGTGTGGTGAAATGGGTGCTGTGATGCCATGCGAGCGCAGCCACTGGGGTCTTGGGTGGAGCTCCCTATGTGGCCGCGAAACGTGTGAAGGGTGTGCCGAAATCCTTGTGGTGGTGCCGTGCGACTGCGGCCACTGGTGCCCTCGGTGGACCTCCCTAAAGAGCCACGGAGCGTGTGAGAGTTGTGCCGAAACAGAAACATGCGGGTGGCAGAGGCAAGGATGGGACGAGGGAGGAGTGGGAGGATGCGGGGTACTGTCTCTTCAAAACGACGACCCAACACCACATAATGGTTGGGAAAAGGGGGCTGGCTGGTCGTGAGGTCGGCGGGGCCCCTTTTCCCGACCCTCCCTTGGTTGAGTTCTCGTTTTGAATAGAGCAGCGGGGTCTCCACCTTATCATACTCCTCCTGCTCCTCGCCCCCCCCGCTCTCCTCTCGGCGCTCTCCTCTGGCAGCTCTCTTGGGGGCTGCGAAATGTTAAACTGTCGCCACATTCGAGGGCCGCTGGGGGAGCCCGCACCATGGGGCCGCACGCGAACCCAAACGGCACCTCACCATCCCTGGGGGGCTCTTCCCAAGGCTGCAGGGGGAGCCCGCACAGTGGGGCCCCACGCGGACCCAAACGGGACCTCGCCATCCCTGAGGGGCTGCGACAGAGCGAAGCCACCGCCACGCTCGAGGGCTGCAAGGGGCCTCTTGGGGCCTCTGGGGGCCCTCTTTTGGGGCCCGCTGGTGGTCTGAGTGGCTCTCTGAGGCAGTCTTGAAGCCCGCGATTTTTAACCGAATCATGCCAGTCTTCGCTGCCTTTCAAGGTCCAAGTCGCGGACAAAAAGCAGTGCAGTGCAGTGCAGTGTTCTGCGGGAGTCGAGCTGTACCCTGCAGATGAGGACGCGCAAAGCGGACAGAGACTGAACTCCCGCGAGTAGGTCTTACCGCAAGCGGGCCGCCGAGCATTGAATCAAATACCGTAGGTGGGTGGCAGTGAACGGAGTGAAGGGGGAGAAATGGAGCACGAGGAGGAGGAGGACGCTGCCGACGACTATAAAATTTGCCGCTGAATTGACGGCGGCACTGAACCATACAATTACACCAATAATATTTTACCAGCCTGCAGGATTCACGTGCGCCACCCGCGCGCAAAGCGAAAACCAGACCTGGACTGCGCCCACGTCTGCGGGACGTGCGCCAACCCGCTGCTGCAGCCGTCGCTGCTTCGGGAATCTTCTGGGATCTTCGGGGATCTTCTGACCCGGGTCGATCCAGACCCGGGTCAGCAGGAAACCAAAAACTGCAATGCAAGAAAACAAAACTGCAACGCAGGTCTTCGCAAACCCGGGTCAGCCAATATGCGCGGCCGCCTCGCGGCCACGAGCGGCTCGTTAACCCGTGTCAGCCAGAGGGGGTCTTCGCAGAATCCAGCAGGATCTGGCGCTCTGGCTGACCCCCGTTAGCGCTGACCCCCGGCCACATGCCGCCGACCAAATGACGGCGGCGCCGATGCCTGCACAGACAGAGCTACACAGGTCTGCATTGCGCCTGCTCGCGTGTGAGCTTACGCCCCGCGGACTCCCCGCCCACGAGGGGCAGATTGGCGAAGGGCTGCCTGCAGAGGTTCTTGAAAACCAGCCCGCAGAGGCGGCACTCCAGCATGGTGACGGTGCGGTTCTGCTCGGCGCGCACCAGCCTCCGGACGCGGATGGTGATCTGCGCCTGCCGCTGGCGCATGGCCCGGGTTTCCCAGCCGACGTCGCTGAACTCTGCCAGCATCATGTCGGAGGTGCCGTCGACGCGGACCCTCGCCATCGGGGAAGGGCTACGGTCCTGCCGCTCTCGGCCTCGTGCCACGCGGTGGCGGCCCTGGTCCTACACCTCATCCACCAGCTCTGCCCCGTCGATGGCGTGGCGCTCGGGATCAGCGCCCATCAAACCCGTGTCGATGCCCACCCGAGCTGGAGGTCGGAATTCCTTTCCGCACATGTTTGTCACTGCCTGGTTCGCCGCCGCAACCGTGAAGAAGCACTTCTGGACGGGGATACCGTAGGTCTGAGCCCTAATGGCTTGAGCCAAACCCGCTAAGGAGGCAATATTGAAGCCCTCTTGGGGCCTTCTTCTGGCCGTTTTGGGCGCCTCTTGGGCCGTCTTGGGGCTCTCTGGGGCCGTCTTGGGACATTCTTGTAAACCTCTTTTTGGGCCGTGTTGGGGCGTCGTCGTGGAAGCACGAAAGTCGCATGTGCTGCAACAGTTCGTTTTCCCCAAGGTAATGAAACGAATTTGAGTTCATGGAGCCCTCTTGGGTTGTTTGGGGAGCTCTTGGCTCCTCTTGAGGCCATCTTGGCGCGTCTCGGAGCGTTTGCGGGGGGTCTGGGGCGGTCTCGGGCTGGTCCTGGCGGCCTCTGGAGCCGCCCGAGAATCCTCAGGGCCCCTGCTAGGGAGCCCTTGGACCGCCTGGGGCCCCCATGCCACGACGTGGCCGTGGTTCTGGGCCCGCCCCTGGACGACGACGACGACGACGACGACGACGACGACGACGGCGGCGACGACGACGACGACGACGGCGACGACCACAGCGGCGGCGGCGGCGGCGCTGACGACCCCAGAATTCGAAATCGGCTCGGCATGGGTCCCCAGACCACTTCGGGGGTCTGTCCGGCGGCGATTTTCGCCCCGTGGAATCAGTGTTGAAGCCTCAGTTTCTTTCCCTAAAATCTAACAGCCCCAACCTGTCGGATGGGGAATGCTTCTCTGAGGTCCGCGCGGGATGTGTGGATCCGCGCTGGATCTCCCTCCCTGTCGAGCGTGAGGCGCCTGGGGCGGCGCCAAGCGCAGATGCAGGAGACCAGCGCGGAGCTCCAAACATTATTTTTTCTTCGCTTGACCCATCCGATCGCCCTCGAACACCCGGTCCCCGAAGCGCAGGTGCACGCCCACGAAGCGGGCGGGCGCCGCCGCGCAGCGGGGTCCCGAATCGCCGCAGGAAACCAGGGCCTCAGAGCCGTCGAGCAGCTGCGCGTAGGCCTCGCCGGAGGATCGAGGATCGAACTTCAAGCATCGAGGGATCGAGGATCGAACTTCGAGAATCGAGCTTCGATGGTCGGGGGGCTCCTGGGTCGTATCCCGCACGCTCCGGCGCCTCCGCGGGGCTCCTCGTGGCCTCGGCTGGGTTCCCCTGGAGACTCTGGCCAGAGCGCATCAAATTTGGACGCCCGAAATGGGTACGAAAAGAATGGGCACAATGCCCAACAATAAATGTTGTCCAAAACCAACAGCGGCCCCTGTTGGGCAGGCGGCCTTCTGTCTCGAATGGACACAGGCCGCGGCGGCGCGGACAGCGAGTCCTGTTCAAAATGAACAGGAACTGCTGTTGGGCATTGTACCCATTCTTTCCGTGCCCATTTCGTTCGTGCAGATCCAAGGAAATGTCTGGGGGGCGGTTGCGCCAAGACAGCGGCCTCCCTCCCCAGTCAAGGCCAGCTGTGCTCCGCGCTTCGCGCTGCGAGGCATGCGAATCACTCTGCGCTCTCGCGCCGCCCCCGCCCCCCCCACAGGAGAGGAGTTGGCGGCGCGCACAAGGGGCCAGGGGGAGAGGGGGAGTCTTCTTAGAAGGAGGCTGCCTCGTAGAAGGCGCGGGCCTTACATCTACAGACAAGGCCGGCGCCTTCTAAGAGGCAACCTCCTTCCAAGAAGCCCTCCCCCCTCTCCCTACCCCCCTCTGCACGTGGCCGGAGGAGAACAACCAAGACGAGGACGCGGAATGGCAAATCGCGAACCGCGAGTCAGTTCGCGCCCTCGTGGCGGCTCTTGCTGGCATCCTGGTGGCCAGGATGGACGCTCCGGCGGGGTCGAAAGATCGATGCTGGGCGGAGTTGGGCAGGGCGGGAGAGGCGCCGTTGTCTCAGCTCGCCGCCCCCCCCCCAAAGCCTCGTCGAAGGAGAACAGAAAGTGCAGGGCACAGCCCAGCAAGTACTCCCTGTCGACGGCCTGCTCCACCTGGCGGGCCCCCGTGCTGCGGCAGGCCGGCTCCTCGCCCTCTGGCCCCCCAGAGGTGCGGCAAGGAAGAGAGCGATCAGGCGGGGACTGCTGAACTAGAGGATCTGGGCGCGGCAGCTGAAGGGGCCCTGGGACACACAAATAAATACATACAAATAACAGGATTCCCCATATTTTCCAATGTTCTCGGAGTTTCTGTCTTCCCCCCTACTTCCCATATTTTCCCATATTTTCAGGGGGATCGACGATTAATTGTGTCTGTGAGTTTTTTCCCTCCTGAGTAGCACGCACCCTCAGTTCAGCAACCCTGGCCTCCTTGGTCCGCAAGGTAACCATCGAGCCATCGGAGGCCAGATCGCTGAGCCGAAGAATCACTGGGAGCAGGGCGAGCTGAGACAGCGGCAGCCCAGCATCGGTTTTCCGAGCAGGGTTCAGCCGTGGCGATGAGGGGCCACCCCGAAGGCTAACTATCAGTGTCTCGATTCGCCCTCCTCTGAAGATCGCTGAGGTGAAGCAACACATTGCCCGCATCCGCCTCATCCTGGATGCTTCTTATGACTTGCGGCAAGTGCGACATCGCGCTGAGGTCCTCCATGAAGGCGGACGGGTACGCGTTCGACCTCACCCTGAGGCAAGGGTCACGGCTGCTGAAGATTTCGTGCAGCTTGTCCCGCCAGCCGGCCTCCCCCAACTGCCACCTCACCGTTCCCATGAGGTTGACCTCCGTGCAGTCCTCTTCCATGGCGCGCGGCCGGGGAACAAAAAGGAGGAGGGCGGAGGAGGAGGAGGAGGAGGAGGAGGACAAGGAAAAGGAGGGAGGGGGAGGAGGAGCAGGAGGAGGAGGAGGAGGAGTCTTTGCCATGACGCTCCCCTCACCGGCCCGAAGGAACCTTCGAGGACGCTCCCCTGGGCCCACTGGAGATGCCTGCCAGAGCGCTCTCCTGAGGCGCCCGAAGGTACCTTTGGGTCGGGCGTGCCCCCCCTGCAGGCGGATCCTGGGCGAACCATTAAACATCCTCAACAGATACCTCCAAATAGTGAAGGCAGAATCAACAAAGAGTCCCCAGATTGTTTGACTATGTTTGAATATTCCCCTTCAGGTACCTGTCAGGAAGGCACCCCGCCTCTCAGACGGGAGGAGGAGGAGGAGGAGGAGGAAGAGGACGAGGAGGAGGAGGAGGAGGAGGAGGAGAGAAGGATATTCCCGAGCTTGTTTTTTGAATATGCCTTTTGCGGGTACCCGTCGGGAAGCTTTCCTGGGCAGCCCGACGGTACCTGCCACATGTCGTGTTCCAGCAGAGGCGCCGCGGGCTCTCCACATGTAAGGACGATTTCTGCCGGCACTCCTGGCGCGGAGTCTACAGAGAGCTCATTGGGGAAGCAGGAGGGCTTCCTCCTCCTCCTCCTCCACCTCATCCTCCTCTCCTCGTCCTCCTCCCCCTCCTCCTCCTCCTCCTCCTCCTCCTCCTCCTCCTCATCCTCCTCTCCTCGTCCTCCTACCCCTCCTTCTCCTCCTCCTCCTCCTCCTCCTTCTCATCCTCCTCTCCTCGTCCTCCTACCCCTCCTCCTCCTCCTCCTCCTCCTCCTCCTCCTCCTTCTCATCCTCCTCTCCTCGTCCTCCTCCCCCTCCTCCTCCTCCTCCTCCTCATCCTCCTCATCCTCCTTCTCCTCCTCCTGCTCCTCCTCATCCTCCTCATCCTCCTCCTCCCCCCGTCTGAGAGGCGATCCTCCTCCTCCCCCCGTGTGAGAGGCGGGATGCCTTCCTGCATGCCGCCCCACTTCGCTCCGCCTCTGGACCAGGCCCACTTGGACTGGTCCCCTGGCGGACCCCCCGTGGCCGATCCTGGCACCCCGATTGCGATAACAATAACAACGATGGGAACGATAGCCATGACAACGATAACAACGATCACACCGATAACGGCATCAATGATAACAACGATAACAAGAACGACAACAACGTTAACGATAACGATGCCAACGATGAATAAGACAACGGTAACAACGATGCTGGCGATACCAACAACGACGGAAAAAACACGGGGTCAACTGCACGGAGACTCGCGCGCAAACTTCCCGCGCAAGCGCCCCCTCCTCCGCGCGGTGTGCCACGGCGGCAGCCCGCGAAAATCGCAGCGTAGGGCGGCCATTTGCCATCTCGCGGGGGGAGGGCCGTGCCTCGTCGTCGCCCAAAGTGCTCCAAATTGCGCCCAGCGGTAACCAAATAGTGATGCACCAAAACAGGCCCCCATACCCTTTGGGAGGGGGCAAGAGTTAGGAAGGCCAGAGCACATCAGAGATAGGGGATATGTGCTTCTGTAGACGCATCAGACCAACCCGTCCAGAAGTATCATCCCTAATGCGAAGACGGGGACCTCAGTGAGGCCACGTCATCATCTGTCACTCAGGTTACACTGGAAGCGAGCCCACACAAAAAACCTTCCACAAGAAACCCGACCCTGAGACCCCAGAACGTCCACGGACTCTTGGTGTGGGACGTCGCCCTCTCCACGTCAAAACCATCGAAACCCAGGAAACCCAGGGCACCCTGGAAGCAAGCAAGGTGTTTCTTGGCACGGGCCCACACTGTACGGGTTCTGCTGTGCTCGACGAAATACCTTCACAAAGTCCAGCTTTCTGGGGTCCGCGCGGGCACGCGGAGCGCGCCAGGGGCGGCGCCGCAGAAGCCGCCAAAGAGCTCCCGCGAAACATCGGAGACATCCGCGCAGACTTCCAAAGGTTTGTGTGCGGTGTTCTCCTCTCCTGCCCTATGAGATCACCAGGGGACGAAACTGACGATTCTTGCTTTCTCGCCTCTTCGCTTCCGATGACCCCTCCGAGGCCTCGAGTTGGCCCCAAGATGGGCCCAAGAGAGCCCCAGGAAGGACCCAAGAGGGCTCCAAGACGGCCCCAAGAGCGCCGAAGGGCGCCCCGAAGAGCGCCACAAGAAGGGCCCAAGGCGCCATTGTTGAGCCATTGTGTGCAGTGTCCTCCTCGGCCCATTTGAACATCAAACGTCCACAGGCCGCACCTCCAAGGAGGTCGACTCCCCTCTGAGCAGGAGGGGGAATGGAGGAGGAGGAGGAGGAGGAGGAGGAGGAGGAGGAGGAGGAGGAGTAGAGGAGGAGGAAGGGACGGAGGAGAAAGAGGAGCAGGAGGAGGGGAAGGAGGAACAGGTGGAGAGGAGGGGGAGGAGGTGGAGGTGGAGGAGGAGGAGGAGGAGGACGACGCACCTCCAAGGAGGCCGACTCCCCTCTGCGCCCCGCCCCCCCTTCTTTGCGCCGACCAGGCCTCCAGCGCGCCGGGAGATCTCCAATCGATGCTCGGCTGGCCCAGCAGCTCCGAAAAGTCCGTGCCGTGCCTCACCCACTCTAGGACCAACGCTCGCTCGCTGACCATAGCGAGATAGAGCATGGTCGAAATGCCCTTGAGCTCGTCGGCGAGCCCGGCACAGTCTTCGTCGTCCAGGCAGTGCCACACAAGAAGCCTGCCGGCCGCTCGGCCGGCGGCCCTGTTCGCCATGGTCTCCTGGTGCCAGGCGGCGCTTCCACACCTCTTCCTATTCCTCCTCCTCCTCCTCCTCCTCCTCCTCCTCCTCCTCCTCCTCCTCCTCCTCCCCCTCCTCTTCCTGGTGCTGCTCCTCCTCCGTCAAAGCAGACCCTTCTCTTCCTCCTCTTTCCCTCCCCTTTCTCTTCCTCCTCCTCTTCTCTTCCTCCTCCTCCTCTTCCTGGTGCTGCTCCTCCTTCATCAAAGCCGACCCGCAGACCTCGCCTGGAAGTCGTTCACGACAGGAATTTGAAGGAGATGTCAGCCGCGACGACGAGGTTGCCGCGGGAGAGCGCGGATTCTCGTGGGTCGGTCCACAAACCCCCCCCCGAAGAGCAGCCCCCCCCGAGGACCCCCCTCAAGATCCAGGAAATCCGCACGGAACGGCTAACGAGCATCATTTAACCGATCCCTATCCCCACCGGCGTGTCCTAGATGGGGATATAGGCTGTTCACCTGGGGTGGTGGGATGGTGATCGGAATGGGGGTGGGGATGGGGATGGGGATCGGTCAAATGGTGCTGAACTAACACGTTCTGATTGTTCCGTGTTTTATCTCCAGATGTCAGCAGCGGTGACCACTCAATGCTGGCTGGGGTTCAGGCCCGCGGAGGCCTTCTCGTGTGTCCATCAACATGGGGGGCGTTAAGCGGTGGGGGGTAATTAAACAAACGTGCGCCTTTCATGCACCATTGGGGCCCGCGTAGGGGAGAAACCACAAGCACTGGTCGTGCACCAGTTCGTGCACCGTTTGTGCACCAGCTCAGTGCACCTTTGGTGCTCCAGCTCGTGCGCCCCTCGTTGCACCTTTTCGCGCACCAGCTCGGAAGCCATCCAGGGCGCTGTTTTAGGGCCCCTTGGCTGCAATCCTGCATTCCGAGTCCGGAAAAACCACCGAGAACCTACGAACACAAAAAAAACCTGAACCTCGAACCGAACACCTCGACCCGCTTCCTGCATGGTGAGCCGTGCGCTTGGCCCTCCGCTCCGCGCGCCCAGCGCTGGCGCCCGCGGCACCAGCGCCGACGCGGCGCGAGTCAAACGCAGCGATCGCGGCATGGGCCTTACCGATGCAAGAGATGTCTACGATCCTGGTGCCGCATTCATGGGGCCACATGCGATCCCCACCCCTACCCTTACCAGCCTCGAACGTATCCCTATCCCTTGACACGCCAAAAGGCGATGACAATCTTAGGGGTTCGCCCTCAAAAAATAAGGGAATCCCTAAGATTGGCATCGTGATGAGGAGATGCCCAGCATAGGGATAGGGATATGTTCCAGGCTGGTAGTACCCCCACGATTTCTGAGGGGGAGGGTGGGGTAGGATTCGCATGTGGCCCCCTAACATTGCTCCGCGAAGGACGATTTCGCACTGCTTCGGACCCCAGGACCATCGCAGATCGACGGGGCACGAAGCCTGCCGCACAATGGCTGGGTCTTGGACTCCAGCGTCAAGATGGGCATGTCCCCCTGCAGGGGGATTTTGGACGAAAGATAAAGCATACCCAGAACAGACTCCCAAATGGTCAAGCATATTTCAAAAAATCGTCCCCAGACTATGGTTTGACTATTCCTCCTGCAGAGGGACAAGCCCGACGTAACTCCAGCGTCGGAGCCCAGGGCCCCGGGGCAGCCGTGCGAGCGAGCACGGGAGGCGCGCGCCGGAGCCGGAGCTCAGGAGCGCCAGAGCCGAGGGAAGCAAGGTGCCCCTGCGACAAGAGCCCATCCTCAACGCCAGATTTCGGGGGCGCACAGACATGGATTAGCATTCCATGGATTTGGCGCGCGGTCGCCCTATCCATGGATCGGGGGAGGTGCCCTCCCCAAAGTGCGGCCGGTGCCGCCTCGCTCGGCAGCGGAAATCCGTGATTTCCCATGGAAACGGGACCCGTCGCTAATCCACGCCCCCTTGACCCATGTTTGCGATCGTCTGAGATTTGAGCTCCCCCACGGAGGGCCCGCGGCGGGGCGCCGGGTGTGCAACGCGTCCCGGGGCGTGGGGACTTTCAGGGAAAGCCTGGCGAACCACGACTCCGCGACAGCCTCGCCGTGGTCACCCCGAGCTGCCAGGAGACGCCTGGTGCCCTCCTCCAACCAGGCCTCCTCCTGCTGCCCATCCCCCCTGCTCGCTCCTCCACCCTCCCGCTCCCTCCTCGCAAAACCTCCTCGCCGTCAGTTGTCGTCGTCCTCCTCCTCCTCCTCCTCCTCCTCCGCCTCCTCCTCCCGACTGCTCCTTCCTCCTCCACCTCACCGTGCTCCTCCTCCGCCTCCTCGTCCAGCTCCTCCCTCAAATGCCCCCCTCCTCTAACCGGGCATCTCCGGAGAAGGGCGCGCTTGGCCTGCCGGGGCGTTCGCTGCAGCCCCCTGCCGTGGCGGCGAGGGCCCACCCCCCGAGTCCCGGCACGATGCACCACAAGCGAATGACTTCTCGGAGAGGGGCCCAGAGACACACAAACGTAGCACGCACTGTATGGTGTTTTCACGGAGTGGCCCTCTCTTCCTCTTCGTGTGGTTCAGTGTCTTTTGTTTGATCTATGTATTTGTCTTCTCGTTCGTCTTCTTATTATTCGTCTTATTCTTCTTTTTCGTATCATCATTGTTATTCGTAGTGGTTGCTAATATTACTATTCTGATAGCATTACTAATAATATTCGCAGTATTAGAAAATACTGTTAATATTGTTCGTTTTCTTCTTCGTAGCGTTGTTGTTATTCATGGTAAAATTCGTCTTATACTTCCTCTTATGAATATTATTCTTCTGATTCTTAATATTGTTTTTTTCGTCGTATATAGCATATCGCAATTGCGGATAATAGAAAAGCGGCGGCGGGGACGACGGCAGGCTACGAGACCCTGCAGGAGCCTGGCGCAGGCGCCAAAGTTTCACACATGATACACCGACCCCGCCGCAAGTGCCGATTTGTTCGTCAAGCTAACGTGGGTGGGTCGAGGCTGTGTCGCGGCTGGGTCGCGGGTGGGTCGCGGGTGGGTCGCGGGTGGGTCGCGGGTGGGTCGCGGATGGGTCGCAGGGTGGTCTCGGGTGGGTCGCGGGTGGGTCGAGGATGGGTCGCGGGGTGGGCCGCGGGTGGGTCGCGGGGTAGGTCCCGGGTGGGTCGCGTGCGGTGGGTCGCGGATGGGTCGCGGGGTGGGTCTCGGGTGGGTCGCGGGTTGGGTCGCGGGGTGGTCGCTGTTGGGCCGCGGGGTGGGTGGCGCGGTGGGTCGCGGGTGGGTGACGGGTGGGACGATAAAAACAAACAAACAAACAAACAAACACAACAACAACAACAACAACAACAACAACAACAACAACAACAACAACAACAACAACACAACCAACAACAACAACCATGTTAAGGCTGTACGCTCTCACTTGCCCGCGAGTCATTCAACACGTATACCCTACACCCTCGATGCCCGCCCTCTTCGTCTTCGATCACACCCCTTTCGGGGGGATTATTTCTCTTTGCTGGGGCCGGCGGGCTTAGACGTACGGGCAAACCGGAACGGGCGGACAATCCTTCGGGGGCGTACATCTCTCTGCCCGCCATTGGAATTGGCGCGGGCCCTGCAAGAGGAGGAGGGGAAAAACGAGGGAGAGTGGGAGGAAGGGGAGGGGGAAGGACGAAGGAAGAGGGAAGATACCACGTTGTGAAGGCGTCCTTGGCGCGTGCGTGGTTCCTGAGCGCCGAAACGCAATTCCAGAATAATTTGTGAGGACGTCGCACGCGAGAGCGCAGTCCTGAGTACATTGTGAGGAAATCTCAGGCGGAAGCGGGGGCCCTGACTAAGTTGCGAGGAAGTCTCAAGCGGGAGCGCCGTTCCTGAGCAAATCGCACGGAAGTCTCAGGCGGGAGCGGGGGTCCTCACTAAATTGCGAGGAAGTCTCAGGCGGGAGCGCCGTTCCTGACTCAATTGCGCGGAAATTTTATGCAGGAGCGGGGGTCCTGAGTAAAATTCGAAGAAGTCTCAAGCGGGAGCGCCGTTCCCACGTAAATTGCACGGAAATCTCAGGCGGGAGCGGGGGTCTTGATTACATTGCGAGGAAGTCTCAGACGGGAGCGTCTTTCCTGAGTAAATTGCGCGGACGTCTCAGGCGGGAGCGGGGGTCCTGAGTAAAAATCGAGGAAGTCTCAAGCGGGAGCCGTTGTTGTAGCCTGGGGGGCAGGGGCACATTTTGAGCAGGAAAATTTTCCTTCAGACAAAACAGGGTGCGAGCCCCGGGGGTGGCACTTCAATCGAAAAAAAAACAATGTGCACCGGTGGGGG